GATTTTAAACAATAATAACAAAAATATCCTACCAAACATATTATTGATACTAATAATAAAAATAAACACATCAAATACTAATTACTTCATCTGCTCTTCATCATCCTCTCTCGGTTGAGAAAAAAATTGCCCTTGAATTAGGTTGAATCTTGTTTTCATCATTCTGGAGATGGTGATAATAAAGTAACCGAACGAGACTGTGATGGATGTAAAATTATGCAGATGCCGGCAAATAGAAAGCTATAAGTTTTGAGGCGACCATCGTGAACACAAGGCACTGCCACGAACGCCCCAACAGAAGATGACAGGCGTCCATAGGCACGATGTCACACTAGACCTCATTTGTGTACGTAGTCTCGATGGAAAAACCAACCAAAACACGAAGATCCACCGCGATCGAACTCTCGCTGAATCCATGCAAGTGTGTATTGCTGAGGGTGAGGTTCACTCGACAAATGTAACTTCTCGACGGCCTCAATTGCCACCACATTTTCTCAGGCATCAGAGTCGATCATAAGACAACACACACGTCCCCCGACCGTGCATATGGACTCGAAGATATGATGGCGCAAATCGATATCATCACGAGACGTGGGGAGATAAAAGAGACCGGCGAAGGACAAGCGCATGACTCCAGAGACATGCTCCACTGGAACATTAGGCTCGACATAAAAAATGGGAGGGCCCGTGTTTAGATGTTCTTGAGATTGAGATCTCATTAATATCGTCTCACCCGTACGCTTCCCTACATCACATAAGCTATAAGCTATAAGCTCGAAAATCACTTATCAGCTATAAGCTAGCTTATTAGCTAGTTTTACAAAATATAGTCGTAATAGTGATGAAGTCCTAATTCTATCCTCCGAGGCTTTAGCATCTTAATCAATCAAAACTTATACTCTTAAAAATTAAAATTAGAAAATGACTGATCATATAAATTAGATTTAGGGTATGTTTGGTTCAAAGGAGGGGAGGGGAGGGGAGGGAATTTAATGGAAGGGAGGGGAGGGGAGGGAAAATAATTTATCTTGTTTGGATAGATTTTGTAGGAGGAGAGGTGAAGGAAAATGATTAACCTTGTTTGGTTAGAAGATGGAAGAGGAGGAAAAATAATGTTAAAATGACAAATATATCCTTAATGATGTAAGGAACAAAAATATAAAATAATTCACAGTAAGATCAAAAGAGTAATTTGTTGTTAAAATTTTTCCTCCCCTCTAAATTCCCTCACTTTTGGAGGGGAGCACATTTTCTCTTGGAGGAGTGAATTGAAGGGGAAAATTCAAACCCCTCCCTTACAAAAACTTGAACCAAACAAGGGGAAAATAAAATTTTCCCTCCCCTCCCTTTCCCTCCCCTCTGTTTCCCCCGAACCAAACATAGGCTTAAATTGTTCGGACACGAACAATGCACAAGTCAAATGAATGTAAATGAATAATGTGATTCTAACCACTATCTTTCCTCGAACGCCTGCTTCTTCAAAGACTTCCCTAACTGCAGCCTCTTGAACTGTTCCGTCATTTTCCCAGCCTCCCTGCTCGAAGATGAAAACACAGTCAAGAACATAACAATTATTAACTATTTTATTTTGATAGATTGAGAAAACAGATAAAGGCAAGAGAAGAAAGAAAAAACGTAAATCATAGTACTTCAGAACCAATAGTTTGCGAAAATGGAACTGATATTGCATTCGATATACACAATCTTCGCCATAGGCAAAGGTTTGCTATGTAGTATTGACAGTGGAAAAATTAAATAAACAAATACAGTTCAAAACTTCAAATACAGTGAAGGACAGAGAAAGCAAGAAATGCCTGATAATGTTGGTAGCTAAGGAAAAGGTACAGAAGAAAATATAAAAACGGCGAATTCGTACTTTTGGGAACAAAAGACCAGGGCCACTATGTGAATTGATCATGAGCACCTCTAAAATCTTGTTCGAATTCTCACTACATTTTTCTGAGTCCCTATACCTATGAGGAATGCACCAGGCAAACATTTTCCTCATTTAGCATATGATGACGACAAAAGATGAGATACTTAGAATAATAATTAGACTGCATGGAAACAAAGAATGTTCACTAACTCAAGTACCAAGTGGGCATAGGAATTATTTCACAATTTCTCTATTAATTATTCGAAGTTGCAAATAACATGAATTATTCACCACCTTGTTTGTTACAAGAAGAGCTGTTTTTTCGTCAGGATTTTCAGAACATTGTTTCTACATTTTATTATCATTCTCCACAGAATCTAGAAGGAATGAATACGAGGGACAGCTCGTAAAGCCATGAACTTGCAGTCGAAAATCGAAAATAACCAATCAATCAACGTACAAAAGCCGGTAATCTTACTTAAAAGTGATACAATACTTCACATCTAGAGCTGCTCAATGTACAGCTAATTCTCAAAAGAACACACACAATATACCGCATTACTTAATGCATCAAACTATGAACAGCTAAAACAAAACAAACCCAATATAACTGCACAAGAATCATTACAGTTGCAGTACAATACAGCAAATTTTAAGGATTCAAGGATTTGTAAGACCAATACCCAGCAACAAGGAGGCGAAAACCCGAATCACACCGCTGCAGCTGCCTCCCCGTCCTCGCCGCCAAATTCTCACACATAATTCTTACTACTAATAAAATCTGAAAAATAAATGCAGCAACTTTACTATAATTACGGCCCGCGAGCTGCATTTACCAGCGGCAAAAGCCGGCTATTTCTTGAAATACGGTGGCTGTTCGCCGAGGAAAAAAGGGTCTCCGATGATTAGAGATGTAAACGAGTTCGGAACAAAAGCTCGTTCGAGTTCGTTCATGTTCGACAAAAGTTCGTTCGTTTGTTAATCGAGCTGAGTTCGAACAGAAATTTAGACTCGTTTAATAATCGAACGAACACGGGCTCGTTCGCGATAATGTTCGTGAATATAATATAAATATTTTATTTTTTTATATATTTACATAATATTTTGAGTAACAAATCAAAATATAATCATATTTTTATTTTATTTATCTATTTTCGAGTTCGAACCAACAGATTTCGAGTTCATCAAACATATTTATAAAGTTTACGTATTAAATTATTTGAACACGAATGAACTCGAACTTTGACGAACAATTAAATGAACGAGCTCGAACACGATTTTTTGCTCGAAAAATAAACGAACGAACACGAACACTGTTCGAACGTAAACGAACACGAGCTCAAACAGCCCAAGCTCAATTCGTTTCGGTTCGTTTACAGCACTATCAATGATCACTAGGATTTTGATATTTTAACAATAGTTCAATCAAAAGCACTTATATAGATGTGGTTACATAATAATGTGATTGCGTAATGTAAACTAAACAACAGTATTATCTTACCATTTTTCAACAATTGAAATGATTCATCAAGTCGCCAGATAGGTAAATTAGGGCCCAGCTCGGAGTTGACAATTTTAAAGTTATTTACTCAAATTTATTATTATATTCGTGAATAAAGAAAATTAAATAAACAAAATAGAAAATTAAAAGAGATAAATATAAATATATCTGTATTATTTTCGAACTGACCAAGCCAATTAATTTATTAATAAAGAAAAAATAAATTAAATAAAATTCACTTACCAAACTAAATAATATAAAAATAGGAATAATAATAAATAAAGTGGAAATAAATCAAAAACTAATGACGCCGACGAACTCGTTTTTTCGAAAAGGCAAGTGCAATCTCATCTCCAATTCAAGCTAGCTAAAGATGAAAGAGGACTGTGAATGTGGGAACTTGCACAAATTGAAA